TATGTTTTAGGAGTATAAGTTTGATGAGGTTCGGTCGAGAATTCAATGTGAAGTCCACGAACCGAATCTAAAACCTCTGGGTCAGAGGTAATCTCATGCCATTTGGCAATGTGTTTTGATATTTGACCACTCTGGAAGTGCATAATTTTGGTCTGAAAATATGATTTCATATTTGTAATATTTAAGGCGAGGTTACTCACCTGTAAAGAACTGAGGGGATGTATATTGCTGCTGGAGTTTGTTACTGATTTTTTCGGTTTCGATTCCACTGGTTTGGTTTCCTTGGTGGAGGCGGTTTTTGGCGCTGTCTGGGGCCCTTGGATAAAAAATGCTTCTTGTCGTAATCTGATCGTGGTCGCCATTGTTGTGTATTTTTATATTGTTTTCTCGCATCGCTGATTGTGTTGCTAACTTTGTTTGTAGCTCGTATATTTGTTAGTCGACCCTGTAGGTCATCCCCAAATAGGAGGGATGTAACTGGAACATGCGAGGCGCAAAGCGTCGTGTATTCTTTGTTAAGATGCGGTTTTAGCGTTTCCCGCCTTCGTTGTGACATTTCACACGACGCGTGTCCCAGCAGAGCAAGGGCGTCTGTGTTGAGTGTGATAAGCTCTCGGTACTCGGGCTTCGAGTCTTTTTGATAAAGTGACAAAAGTTTGTCGGTTGATTTTGCCAGGACAACTCCAGCTTTGGCCAGATTAGCTTGGTTTGTGCTGGCGCGAAGGTCCAACTGTTTTGCAGTGTGGTCTATTCTCGCCCAGATTTCTGGGTTAATGCGTGGCGCCACAAGTCTGTCACAGTTGTCTGGGCGGGGATGTTGATCCCGCTTTTCTTTCAGCTTTTGATCGCTCAGTTTTTCAGACCAACGCTTATTGATTATGGTAGCGAGTTTCTCTGTGATAGCCGGGCCCATATCGTCCTCCTGAGAGAAACCATTTTCAATTTCTCACAGCAATGAGTCATTGCAATTGTCAGTGTCTTGCTCGAGTCGAGCGTTTGTGGTTTGAGAGCTTTCTGCCGAGTCGGCATTTGATGGGCCACAAAGTGCCCGTGTATCTTCGTCGCTGCTCTGGTTTTCTTCTACTTCCTCAGGTCCAGTTGTCTCTGTAGCCAGGCGAGGTTTCTTTCGTTTCGCCGGAGGTGTCTTGTCTTCGTGGAGACGTTTTAGCGATTTTTCCATGATCGAGCCAACCATTGTATGTAAGGATTGGTTTAACTGCCGTAGAAAACTGCTTGATTTCGCCGTTAAGTCGTCATTCTCGTTGGATCCGTCGATGTCCACTTCGGCAAAGAGGTCGTCTTCCTCACTTTGACCGGACGATACTTCGGCAGTCGGTTTTTCAACTTTTTCTGAATCGAAATTCTCCATGATATAAAACTTGCAACTGAATACTTTGAACGACACGTGCAAAAGTGAATACTCGATCTGCGCATGCATATCTCATGTGACTCCCTAGTGACGTAACTGATGACGAAATAGAATTCGCGCGCGAAAAGCATATGCTCACAGACTCAGTTCAGCCATATAATAAACCGATTATTGACCTCGCTTGTTCGGTATGTACTATGAAATATCAGACCTCTGTTTTTTGCATGGACCTCGCTCCTTAGTCGCTCGGTCCATACTAAAAAACCTTGGATTTTTATTTCACAGTACAGACCTCACGCTCGGTCAATAAGCCGTTATTATTATGAATGGCAAAATTATATATAGGGTGTAATATAGATATGAATGCAATTTGGAAGACAACATGCACGCGCACGAATGAATTTTTCAAAGGGGCCAAAACTGCACGAGGCCGAAGGACGAGGGAAATTTAATTTGTTAGTGTCTTTGAAAATCTCAAAAATGGAAAACCTTTACACTGGCAGAAGCAAATTCATACTCAAAATAAGTGACAGTTTTTATTAAATAATCGCTCATTTGAATGGCACAACATCATTAAACTGACAGGTTTTCCCAAATATATCATGGCGTCTCAATGTAAAACCTGCGAGTTCATAGATTCCTCTACTACGACCATTCTGGCACCAAAATCTAAGGGGTGGGGGCATTTAAGTACCATATCAAGTATCATTTCACGTGACGTCCCTAGTATTAAACATTATTTTATAAAGTTACGGAACGTTTTTGATACGGACAGATTAAGTACGTGGAAGACAATATGTCCTTCTTGTAGGTCTATTGACAGCCATTCCTGTTGTTAGTTAATAAGCAGCGAAGGTGCGTTACTGAGGAGAATGCTACACTGTACCATCCCGGTCTCTTCCTCAGATTGACTGTACAATATGCATCCTTATCTTAGAACCAGAATTAGGGTTAGTACTATAGCGCATGGGTTAAGATTATTTTCCGAAATAATTTCCATCAATTATTTGTTTCAAGTGGCCGTTGGTATGTGCAGTCAACCTGAGCGAGAGACTGGGCTGTCTGTTCAGTGGTATTAGAGAACTTTTATTGAAGTTTTGTGTTTTCTTAATAGTGTAAATTTCTAGTTATAATTTATGTGCGGGGTTTGCCTTGTTGGGACTTCGAGTCCGTTCGCCGATCCCATATCTAACTCGCCTTTGTTGTAATGTCTTTTGTTTCGTTCTCATTTAGCATTGTAAATTTCGCGAGTTCGATTAAAGCTTCTTATTATTATACGATTTCTTTGCTTGTTATTTAATATCGACCCGAATGTGACAATTGACGTTTCTGTCTGACTTGTTTCATTCTAACAAAATATGAAAATACATAAAATACACTAAATATATACGTAAGTTACAAACAATTTACAGTTCTTACATAACAAATGCTCACATAAAGGACAGAAATACATAACTAAACTTTAAACGTCTTACCGAATGTCGATAATCCCGTAATAAAGCTAGTTTTTTACTATCAAAGTCCAAATATAATCCTTCGAAACAAAACAACAAAACGTTTTATGTTCGTCAAAAAACCCCGGATGTTCACCGGAAACTCGATAAACTTCGATCACTGACCGGAAGTGTTGAGCTAGCCTCAACAAGTATTCTCTAGTTATAATCACTCCGCGTATTTTCAGTTCTCAAATGTTGTATTCGGCTGATGAGAAAGATCGTGACTCAATCTTTACGACCGTTACGACCATATGGAAACCAGCCTTTACAGGCAAATGAAAGCTATACAAAAAATCTTTCTTTTTCCAACGAGCGGCGATTAAAATTTACCGACTATTCGATTACAACGAAGAGGCGACACGACAATAACAAGTCAACATCACTCTAAGTCGCTTCGACTATTGCAAACAGTAGCACTTTGCCTCATTCTGATTGGCTTAAGCAATTCAAAATTTTTGCCAAGATGAATTTTACTAAGTTTACTCATTTTGAGTACTAATTATTTGTTGCTTAATTAAAACAAGAAATTTCTAGAATATTTTTCTTGATAAGAATTGAGGATTTTGCTGCCTGTTACCGAATAACGTGCATAATAATTCATGATAGTAACTTAAATCGACTTAATCGATATCTCCATATAATTCCACACAATAAACTGCAGACGTGTCACTAACTAGCAAGCGCCTTGCATAAGAAGTGTCACAATAACAGCCGTCATTGAGAAAATAACAAACAAAGTTATTATTTTTGCCAATATGTATAGTTCTTATTTCATTGAAAAGTTTGTCGTCTAAACGGGTTTTTTTCTCGCGAGATTCATTTTCAGACTCGTCAACAAAGCTCTGATAGTCTTCTAACTGGGGATTATTTACTCGATATCCTTCTTCATCTAACTTTGGATATTCCCTTTTCGGATTTTTCTTAAATTCTAAGAAGTTTTGTGATTCAAGACAGTTTATTACTAACTCCATTGAAAATTTCTTACTTGCCAAATCGGACTGCATCATGGTGGATTTCGCATCGTATATTATGTGGTCGTCAACACCATCCTCATCTTCTTCCACGTCAATGTGTCCGAATTCATCAAATATGACTTGAACAGTTTCCACCATAACAGAGTCGTCTGTGTTCACACCGTCAGTAGTGAATGGGTATACTGGGTTCAAACGAAGATAAAGCACACACTTCGACTCTACCATTTCGCCACTTTCCTTGCTTTCCTCTTCTCGAAGCGCTGTGTCGTAATCCACCAAATCAGGCAACGGATTAGGAAACCATCTCTCTGTTCCGATTTGCAGACTACTCATCCAGAGCTTTCGAAAAATAGCATATTGTGTCTCTGCCTCAGGCAGATGTATTCCTGGGTACTTAGGCACAAATTTTTGCCACACCGAATTTGAACGAGACAAAAGATTCCAGCGCTTACATACCAAGTTCAGTTTCATAACATCATAAAGTGGAAGCTCCAAAAATATCTTGTCCAATATTTCATTAGGAAGTGTCGACGAGCAATCTAATTTTCTCTCTGTTCCAGATACGGAATGTGAATCTGAGTCCTCCATGGCTAGAGCTAAAAAAAGAAATCCAAAGTGCACATTAAAATTGTTGGACGGCAATTGCGATAACTTAATTTCTGCAATAAAATATTCTTATATACCAAAGTAGCCAAAGAACTAGAATGTTGAGTAGGTGACATGTTTTATTAGATTAGAGTTAATTTAGATAACCAGAGAGTGTTTAACTGATACTACGTTACCTTAAAAGGAAGAAAAACAATTATTCTAGCTTTGGCTGGACGCATTTTATCCTCATCCGTTCCGTATTTTGTCCGCATATTCGTTCCGTGGATCCGCTCCATCCGCTTCCGCATTTTAACCTAATTGTGACATGTTCACAATAACACGTCTCAATAGGGCCATTTATACGTGACAAAATAAGTCGCGACTTACATAAGACGCGACTTAAATAAGTGGAGTTATCGCATAAATGGTTCTCTACGGCTTTGGTCTTATTTATTTGCTATAGCTATAATGTTGTTTTGGTTGTTTTT